TTACAAAAGACAGGCTGTCAAAGACATTAAATAACATTATGGAGGTTGGCATGCTTTCATTTGAAAGACCAATGTACAAAATGTAAACATTTTAAATGATTTCTGCCTTGAATGGCTGCTGCAGTTCAGGGCTGGTTATCTCCTGTTTCAAAGACTTCCGGCATTGAAGAAAACAGCTTTTCTAAAAGCTGCTGACAGTTCTGGTATGACTCCTTCTAGTCTCCTACACTTTTTCCTGTTCATTTCTTTTTTACATTTAAAGAAAACACTTTGAATTTTCCTGCAATCTTTGATATCAGGAGATATGAGCAGAAACACAGACTTGTGTATCTAATTGTGCTCTTGGCCTTATCTTTATCTGCAAGGCTGATGTTTACATTTGAAAAGGAAATTATTCTTTGTGAACAATTATAGCCTCTAAGCTTTCATCATATCTCTCTAATCTGTAGTGCTTTGCTTCTAGTGCACTGTCTGATGCTTAGTGGAGTTTTAGGAAGATAATATCCTTAACAAAAGGGATATAAAGGCTTTTTTTTTATATAAGAAAGCTCTTTTTAACGATAAGTTGAGCTGATCAAAACGTTCTTGATAAATTGATCTTTTAAATTCAGTAAGGATAAAACTGCAACTGCAGTAGATTGGAATGAGCAGTTGTAGGAAGAGAGAAAGGGGGACGCTGGTTACAGAGCAGTTCTTTAGACTGGAGATGGCTCTGTAGTGGGCAGTGCTGGGTGTGTATGAGCAGGAATACTGACTGCAAAAAAAGTCTGCTGAGATCTGGAGCTGAAGGTCTCTCTCCAGAGAACCTAGGTGAAAACATCCAGTAGTCTAGAAAGTGCAACCTATGAGGAAAAAAAGAAACAGGTTTTGGGTTTTGACTTAAAAAAGGCAGGCTGGGAGATGCAAGAGTGAAACAGGTATGATGATAAACTCTGGATAGAGGTATGTGGAGATATAAATAGTTACTCTGCCGAGAAATAGAAATAAATCAATTCTCCTTGAGCAAGGTGAACACGAGACTTCAGCTGCAGAAGTATTCAGGCTAGACCAGGAGAAAAGCTTTTCTAACAGTAGAAATTGTTAAGCAGTGGTCTGATTGTCTGGCAAGGCTGTGCAGTCTCTTTCTGCAGAGGCCTTTAATGGCAGGTTTAATCTAGTGAATTCTTACTTCTGCAAACGAATGCTCTTCTTACCTATGCCCAGTTTGGAACAAAGTAATGCACGTGCAGGTGTAGCTTTAGAGATGATCCTCTCCAGAACCTCATTTTAACAGAGAAAAGAGGATTTTAAATAGCCTATTTTCTAGAATAAAAGTTCTAATAAAAGTTAATTGATGAAAAAACTTAATATTTATTTACTATAAGCACAGTGAAACATGTAATAGCATGAAAACGTAGAATAATCATGATGTGAGGAATAGAGGAGGGTGGGATATATTTACCTTTGACCTGTTGCAGCAGAAAGGGGCTTAAAAAGTAGTGCTTACTAAGGTAATGAAGTATTTTCTATTATAACATTGTCATGTGTCTCTAAAGTCTTACCAGTCAACCTATGGTTGTTACAAAATATCTTAAACTAAGACGGCACAATAAATAAAATTAATTCAGTTGTGATATTTTGTTCCTTGGTGAGTGTGATGCAATTCTTACCATCCTTACAATAACCAGCCATAGAAATTTTTCATGTTTTCTGATTATTAGTATTTTTGTCTGCTTTTAATAAGTACAAAGTATCAACTTGATACCTAGAGGATTAAGCACACACCTAGGTGCTTAGCAGAAGTTGGGTCCTTAAATGACCCTTCTGCATTTCCTTTGTCATGGCACTAAACCTGCTGTGCTTCTTGAACTTTATCTGAGTAAGTGCTGCATACTGTATTTATATCAGACACATTTTATTGTTTGCATTTTGGCTTTATGAAATGTCAGAATCAATCTTATACTAATGAAATGTTCGAATTTCATCTCAGCTATGAACATAGCTGCTAATCCTATAAGATGTTTACTTTCTGCCTCTCTGGCTATGTATAGTAACAGGGAGTCTGCCAACTTAAGCACTGCTGACAAACGTCTCCCTACTGCTTCTCAGTCTAATAAATGTTATTTCATTGAGCAAAGATTTAAAATTAATTAATTCAATGTCATTAAAATCCCTTGCAACCTTTGACAAGTTTGCTCTTACCACAGGCCAGTACAAGTAGTTACCTGAATAAGCATGTGCCCCCAAAACCCACCCAAATCAGTAATTTTTATATTTTAATCTTACAATTTAACTTTCATCATTGTGGAACACAACTTCTAATGGCAGTAGCTATGTTTTAGGTGGAAATGTGGAGGGAGAAAGTAGAGAGAAAGGTGGGCTGTATCAAATGATGCAAAACCTATAGGGAAGAGGTAAGACAAAGGGCACTTACCAGAGTCCAACCCTCCTGGCAAATCATGGAGTGTAGCTAAAAACCTCCTAAGCCTTGCTTTAAAATTAATTTTAAAGTTTCTCCTATGGCATTCTCAAAGTAAGAGCTGTATAATTCCCACCATGAAATCTCAGGCTGCATTCCTTGTTGAAGGCTGTTGTCAAACAGTTCACAGCAGACTGTCCAGAGCGTTGGTGCCTTTGTGTGTGTAGGGACATTTTTTACTTTTAGTTTCTAAGCTTCAGGCCCTGATTTTCCACATCCATGGCTTCTGAGTAGCTCTTGGCACCTATGCAAACTCCATCAAAAGCGTGCTCAGGCAGAATGGTGTATTTATTTGCACTGGCACAGTGCCTGAGGAACTACCCAAGAATAGGGCCCTGGTGTGCTGACCATCCTAGGAACTTTTTCCTCAACAAATGTTTCTCAGACTTCTGATGCCCAGGGAGTAGTTTGTTTTAGATGGGAATTGCTAGGGAGATGACAGATGTGGCTAAGCAGCCCTCACCCTGTGCAGCAGTCCTATGAATGGTCATTAGACCTCTCACTCAAGATGACCCTTCATTGGACTCCCAAGGCTCTTAGTCCTGCTGGGATCTTGAGTGGGGTTGAACAGGTGGAGCACACAATTGTCTTGCAAAATTTCCCTTGCAAACCATTTAGGAATCACTGAACTGCATGCCCCCCCTCCCCATCCTCATGCTATGGAACAAGTTGGTGAGGAAGAGGATATAACAATCACGGGGAATATGATTTGGCACCTATTTTGTTCTGACATGGATGAGTACAAAAGCTCAGAAGCAGCAGCCACTGCATGACTTGGTATCTCTGACTGGTGCTATACACAGCTATGGATCCATTTTCATTTCCATAGAAGAGTTACTATTCCTCATAGTTTTACTGATGGACAGCAATCAGACAGGAGTTTTGTGATTTTGGCAGTTTAGCACCAGATCTTAATAGCAGTATGATCTGATGTGAAACCTGGATGTGCTATATCTGTGCACTTACTTAGGCAGTGATACTAATGCAGCAAAAGCACAAATACAGTTTTAATTTTCTTGGGTTCAAAGATCTTTGTGTCAGAAATCAACCTCTGGTAGAAAGAGGAGCCTAGATATAAAAAAATGTAAATGAGATTTATTCATAGTTTGTGTCCATAGTTATCAAACTCCACGAATAACAGCAGCCCATGGGCCTGTGTTCCTGTGAATTAGTTGTGTTTTCCTCTTGTGATAGACTTGTCCTCATCTGATTTTTACCCCTGTTGAGACTGGTGGAGTTTCTATATACTTTAAAGTGTCTTATTTTGGTATCCCTGAAGAATTTATCATCAAATCCATGTCAAAGTGTGAAGGGCTTTGACAAAGAAGGGCTGATTAAATAAATGTTTCCTGTGGTGACATGGGACCAAATATACCCCTCTACTGTGTAGAACTCAAAATGATCCTTAAGCAGCCTGTAGACTTATGAACTCACACCTCAGGCTCTTAGGCAGAAAGGTGTCATCCCTCAATGCCTGACTGAGACCCATTTTCTGTTTAGTATTTTTAACCTTCTCCTTCTGTTTAGTTCCTGCTCTGCCACTTAATGTAATGCCTGTTTATTGGAGACTGCTTTTAGTTTGGTCCTTTTAAAAGCTCCCTGAGGCACGATGATGCCTAGAAATTAATGTATTCCCTTCCCGCACATCAAGCAGATGTGTGTATATTGAGTTAGTGTCTCTAGTGTTTAGCTAATTTCTTTTCAGAGCATAGTTGAATCACTGCTACATACCAAACCCATTTGTGGCTTTTCCTCAAACTATAGGGCTAGGTAGATTTTATGCACACAATATTTTTAGCTTTGACTGCTAAAAGCACTTGTGTGACTTGCAGATTTTGATGAAGTCACTAGCCCTAAATATGCTACAGTTCCAGGCAGCAGTGCTTCAGGTGCTGAATGGGGCTGCATTCAACTGCAGTGTGCACAAGGCAGCCTTTGCAATTCCAAGACCTTGAAGGGGTTTTCATCTTTGTCCACCCATCTTTCTCCCACTGGTTGGCATGGAACTCATCTTTGAAAAGATTATTGCTGGTTGAAAAGCTGAGGACTTTAGTGAAGCATCCTTGCCAAGGAACTAACATGTATTCCAGCTAACTCTACAGCCAGGTTAGGATAACTCCTGTTTCTCCTTCTCTTAAGAAAATACTCTCCTGATGTTTACACTACACAAAGCCCTGACTGTTACTTCTAATCTGTGGTTGAGGTCACTCATTTTACCTGTAAATGGTGGTGCCTTATTTTCCACCAGAAAATGGAGGTCTCTCTCCACATATCTGCAGATCTTCTTTGTCTCAGATCCCCTTTTGCTGAGGCAGTCACCAGAAGTAACTCTTTGGAAGAGCATTAGTCCTATCCTACTCCTCTAGCCTTACCACAAAGCACCTGCCATCACAGGCAGAACTGGAAATGCCAACTTTCAGGTTGCACTGTGTTTATCAAGGTGAGACATCACAAGCACGATTTCCTGGAAATCCCCCCAGCCCCTCGTGGTAAGCAAAGTACCTTTCCACCGTACCAAAAAGACTCAGCTGTTCAAGTAAAGTCTTTTAAAAAATATAGATTTATTTTAAGCACATGAAACATCAGGATAGGCACAATTATAAACAGAGAAAGATTAAACATGGCAACGAGCTTATGGCCAGACAATGCAAGCAATACTTAGAGGCAGAGGTTATCAGTTCATATATGAAAACCTGCTGAAAGCTGGTTATTACTGGTACTGGACACTCTAGGCTTTGCTCATCTCTGTTTTAATTTGAAAATATCTTGTCATTTCATATCTTGCAAATTTTTATTTAGAAGTATTTGCATAAGTACCTATATATTTTAAATACTGTATAAAGTGCATTCAGATGAAGGATGGAAAAAGGTAAAGGCCCAATTTCCAGTGCACTAGAGAGGACTGAGGCAAAACATACCCAGATAATTGACTAGAAAGAGATTGGTTTTGAACCAAACCCTAAGAACACACTGAGTAATGGCACAGTAATGCAAACATGGTTTCTAGGAGACAACTTTAGAGTAGATACTAAGTACTAGAACTATGGCTTGACAGCATATTTGCCTTTTACATTTTGCAGAGCAAGGTCACATTCCTCTCTTGATAATTGCTAGAATAAAAAATATGCTGGAGTTTGAAATGTTCCTCCTACTGTGATCTTGAACAGTTGTTACTGTAAACAACATTCTATTTATTTTGAAATAGTCCATTCATTCTTGGATCTTACTGTCTGCATTTTCCTGTAGACTGCAAGCTGCTATCTTGGAATTCCAACTAGTTTTCTGTTGTTAGAAGTGGAGCTATTTCCACTTTTACCTAGCCTTTAAGCCTAAAGTTGCTTCTGTTAACATCAGTGAATCAGCATGTCTTGTTCAGAAGTTTAGGTTTGCTGGTTCACAAGTAGTTAAGGGAAATCTAAGGACAGCCAACAGTTTCAGCTCTCAGCTTCCTGTAACTCATCTGTGTGTCTCAGAAACTTGAGAAAGGCTAATGGATATTGCAAATTAAAACACTCTGGCATAATTTTTTTCCCTTAAGTCACTTTGGGGATGTAGAGGACTTGAGCAGCACCAAAAATTCCACTTGTTTTTAGACAAGTGGACCTCTCAGTCTCTATTATGAGAGGCCACTGCAGTGATGGAGTTTCTTACCCCCCTTAGCACACCTGTCACTTTTGTGGAAGCATGAACTTGGAAGACACTGAACAACATGGCCAGTGATGTGATACTGCCATTAAGGACAGAACAGTGGTTTTTCCCTTACACTCAAACAGGAATAACTCCTCCTGCTATGAAAGTAAAAAATAGAAACCTTTTTTTTTTTAAGTTGTAACTTCCATCTCTATTTTACATCAATTGTGCTTATGAACAGCTAGGGAAAAAATCCTGTAGAATTCAGAAGCTGAATTCTTAAGCGCTTCTCAGTCCTCCTTTTTGTCAGAGGTACTTGAGCTATCCTCTTCATTGCCTTCAGGACAGACTTTATTTCTTGCAACTGGTGTTATTTCTGAGACCAGGGTTGTGCTCTTGACGGGGCTGTGTTTGCATTTGAGTGACTCAGTGTCCTGCTCATCCGACAGATCTACCTGGTGTCTCTGCAGATCGAGGTACGTAGTAAACAACGAGGCATATTCGGGATGCTTGAATGCAAAGTTCTTGAACTCATCTGAAAAATATTGAAAAACACAGATCCTACAGTGCAGAATCAGAGAAATTTCAGTGCCTGCTTGTTTTACTGAAGCTGATCTCCAGTTAGTTTCCTCTGAAGAATCTCACAGGTATCACACAAAGTATCTAGGTCTGCGCTTCAGCAGTTCTCCCCAGGAACAAGGTGCGAGAACCATGAGATAATTTCAGGGAAGACGAAAAGCAAACTCACTGTCAATATGACTGTCAAAGCATTCTGTGTTGCAAAAGGGCTTAACTTACCATAGGACAACTTCCCGGTTTCATCTGCATCTATTTCTTTAAAGAGCATAGAAACATCAAGCTCAGGCACCCCCAGTGCTGACTGAATGATAGATGCAAACTCCTTTTCTGTTATAGTGCCATCGTCATCCATGTCAAAGAGCTGGAAAAGACACAGTGTGTACAAATACTTTAGCACCAGTTTGCCTGTGGACCCTCTGTGCACATTAGCCACCCACACTGGCTTTGTAGTATTCAAGAGGTTATCTGTAAACAGTTACTGGGATTTGAGGAGACCTGCTGCATCTCAGCTACTTTCTCTTCCAAAAGACTTTATGTTTTTTCTGGAACAAGATTAAGCAGACAACTCAGCAGAGCAACATACATGCTATAGCTGGGATTCGAACATTCTGCAAAAACAAACAAACCTCATAGCATTAGTTCAGTGATAAAACTGGTACAAAATTAATAAAAAATAAGCAAAGGTTTATGTTTATGGTCATCATGAGCTATGCTAAGGCTCCACTGGATTCAGCCTCTCTATACTGGAATATCTTGGGTTTTAGTCTTCATTTTCATTAGGTTATGGGACACCCCTTATCAGATTAAACTTGCTCTGACATAAAATACCTAAATTTTAGTATATGTGATTGGTCACCCACTAAGGAATTATTGTAACTAACAAAGAATTTTGGTTCCTGGAATGCAGGCAGTGGATGCACACTGATCCTCCCATCCTTCCCAGCACCGTGGCAGTAAGCATCTGCTATGAATCAATCCTTGAGAAATACAAGGGATGGATGGCTGTAATTCTCAAGTCCTTGCTACAGGCAAACTTCCCCATTGAGAAGGAAAGAACGTTTAATGGCAGAGAAAAAAAAAGTAGCAAAAGGAAACCCACAGTTCCATTTCAGACTGAAACAGGCTTTTACCAGCTGAACCGGTTGTTTCCTGCTGAAACTGGATAGTAAAACAAATTAATAATTTTATAATCAGTGCACCTGCTAAGATACTGGAGAGTATAGTCTGGAAAACAAAACAATGAAACAGCAGTAATAGCTGCTAGGCTTGCTTCTTCATAGGAATCTGTACCGATAAAACATCCCCAAAAAAGCACAAACAAGAGTAGTAGTGTTTATCTAAAAAGAAGCCAGTGGATATAATGGATTGCCATAAAAATTTTAGTACTTCCCAACTACACATGCTAAAAAGTACCCAGTTTAGGATGCACATGATATCTCAATATGTTGCTCAATATAGTTCATAAGATCAGATTAATGGGTAAAATAACTGAATCTGTGTCAAAGAGCTACTAAAAAAAAAAAAGTCAAGGATGCACAGCCTGGGCATCCCTGATCATGTATTGCCTCCCTGTACCTGAGATGTGAAAGGAGCAATTGTTTTATGACTGCTCCAAGACTGCTGTCAGGACACCATAGTACAAGCCATCAGTTCTTAGATGAAGCTCAATTTTGGATGTGCCAGTCCTGACTGCTTTTTTTTTCCTTGATTTTTTTTTTTCCCCTCCTCTTTGTTAAGAACAATAACTCTAGTGAGGCTTGACCCACAAGAGGATGTTACTCCATCTATTGTGACATTGAAGAATCATGGCAGAAAAAACCTCAGGCAAAAAAACTACAAGTGCTGCTGAATCATTTTTGGAGTTAGCCTGCCAAGTTACATATTCATTAGTGCCTTCACATGGCTTTTGAAACTGTTTTCCATGATGCCTGCAATTCCTCCCCTCTCCTTTACACTCTAAATGTCAATTGGTTTAAGAGTATTACTCACATTTGCATAACAGATTGAAGCTTATGATTTGAAAGGTAACAGACTTACAGTCAGTCTTGATTTGTCAGGTTTGCAGATTTACACTAAATTGAACTTACCTTAAATGCCATCTGAATAGTCTCTTCTGTGTTGGCTGGGTTACAAAGAATAGACAAACCAATTACATATTCTCTGAAGTCGATGCTGCCATCTCCGTTCTGTAACCAAAACATGCATGGCAGTAGTTATAGCTAATACTGCAAATCCCTTCAAAAGCTGTTGTGTAAATCAAATACACAACATGCACTAATACAGTTTACAACACCAGAGGTATTTGTTCTTTCTGGAAAAAAATACTAACAGCTCACTGAATACGTAATTCTAAGGCTGGAGCAGCAATACACGTATTTTCAATAGCTAGAAATGGGGTATCCACTTCTATCTTATAAACATACAAAAAAATGAAATCAACTCAAAAGTTTTTCTTCGCTATATGACCTTCAGGAAGGCTCTAAGAGGAACTGGAATAAATGTGTTTAAGAGTGCATGTAGCATTGGCACTTGCTGAAGTCCAGAGACCAGTGCAACATCTCAGAATAAGCAGGCCAGCAGTGAGGCTGTTGCTTTGAGTTTGAACCTTCAGCAATAAAATATATGCCAGAGAAAGGACAATCAAGTCTACTTGCTCTATCTGAAACTTTTCTCTGAAGCAAATGCACTGCCCTACATGCTATTTTGAAGCCAATAAACTATCCTACCTTTTAGGTCAGAAAGGCAAGAATTCATTGGAACAGCCTCTCTAATTCCAGTTTTGATGTGAATGGACATTTCAATGTGATAACTACAAAGCTACATCAACAGAACATTTGAATTTCGCTTTGATGGGATTTGTGAATAGTTCTATGTAAGCTGCATTATATTTGCAAATAGGGAAAATGGCAGATGGTTGTTGAAATCTATGCACATGTCAGTAGTGTTCCTGTCACCACACTGAAAGTTTCTTGAGTGTTTTGGGAAACATCTCTCTGGGGAAAAGCCATCTACAAGTGTCACATGGTGGGACACAGAGCAGTTAATGACAGCATAGTAGAGATGACTTGCAGGTCATCATTTGGAACCTTCACAATAAGGGCATTCATCAAAAACGTTTTGAAGGCAAACTGAAGTGTAAAGCAGAGTTCCCTTTGTGGATAATGTGCTGTGCATTTCGAAAGGGAAAATATTTTTTTAAAAAGTGGAGTCCCTACGTCTGAGAACAGCACAGAACTTTTTCAGCCAAGTGAGGGAGGAGTGGTCTCCTGGGTAAATCTGTAGCAAAGAGCCAGATCTGGATTCTATTTCTGGCTCTCCTACCAACTTCTAATGCCCACTTGAGCATACCAACCTTAACCTTTCTGTTCTTGGTTTTCTGCTGCTGGCAGTGCAATGTGCCAGGGGAGAATACTAAGGCTGCTCTGTAGAGCGCTTTGAAAATCCTGGGTGCTATGAAACAGGGATTTCAGTAATTGAATTTAGGTTTTAAGATAGTTCTTGATCAACCAAATATGTGTAATAATGCATTCAGTACTAACTTTTCATAATCAAGCTGTAAATTTAACAGGATTTAAAACTGCTAAGATACAATTTAATTTAACCTTCAAAACCAATGCAGGATTCTTTTGCAGAGATAACTGTTATTTTCTTTAAACTGATGGTCTAACCCATCTTTTTTTGAAGACAGGCAACCTTTGAACAACTTATACTTTAAAAACCTCTGAATTTCAAGGAAAGTTTTTAGCAAAGATATGAATAAGATATGAACTTTTTAGTTACTTGCACATGTGTCTAAGGGATATAACTTTTCACAGTTTTTAATCACTAGAAAAGGACAATGTTCTCTCATAAATGTGGTTTTATTTACAAATCCGCTGTCATTGTGGTGCAGAGCTTGACTATAAGTATTTTGGCTACATTGTAGTTCTCAGAGATAACAGATCTAACTTTAAAGCTTAGCGTTACAAACATAAACTTTTAAAACAAGAAAGAGTACAAATAATAATTGTTCAAAGTTCTATAGAATATTATTTTTGGACAGTTTTGTAGACTGTATTCTTAGCAAAGTATTGTTTGATGTGATTAGAATATTTTTTTAAATTTATTTTTAAAGTTAAGAATATGTATCACAGGAAAAGAATTGGGAAGTAAACTTTAACTAAAATAATCTAATTAAAAACAACTTCTGAAAGAAGTTAGAACAGCTGTTGCTGCACATGGAAAAATAGCAAGAAAAATGATGAAATAAGGGTCATATTACTTTCATTAAAGTGCTAAAACCCAATAATCCAGACTGAGTCCAGTCTGATACACAGAACTTCAGCCATTTTAGTAGGGAATAAAGTTACTACGCTTGCAAGGTCATGTTGTGACTAGCTTTACTAAACCCTAGGATGCTGGCTAACTCCCAAACGCTCTGGCATTTTGGTTAAGGAGAAATGATGGGGCTGTCACTTGGAAAAAGGGATGGGAGTTAAACTGAAAACACAGGAAAACCTTCAGTGCTTGTTTAACACCACAGTAAAAAAGCACTTGCAATTGTCTTTCTGCACATATCTAGCTGTGTTTGCAGCTTATGCACCCAAGAATATTTTAAGGAAGCAACGTGTGAGCTGAGCTCCAATTCTCAAAATGGTAAAGGGGAACATCAGAATTTAGGTATTTGTATTTATGTTACATAAAATAACCAAAACATAGAGCAACCTTAACAGGTCTTGTTTTCTTTAAGCAAACTAGTTTCCTGCCACTCTTTTCACTATACCATGTTATGGTAACTGGGATTTTGTGGTTGTGTTTTTATATAATACAGTAAGTATTAGAAAAAACAAGCAAGTTGCATTGTCATAAGCATTCCTCACTTAGATCTGCATAAGGACTGCAGGACAGATGCAGTATAAAGTACTACTGCATCAATACATTTTTCTCACTATGTAAGGCAACAGGAAAAATGAAGTGTGTATTGTGTGTATGCCTGCCATTCGTGGCAGGTAAATAAATTATTAGGTAAATAAACCTAATAAATAAATAAATGATTAGGTAAGTAAACCTAAAGGGTCACCACAGAGAAGCTACAGCTAACTGGACCATTTGTGGAGGAACTGCAGATGCGCCTCTCGTGTTCATACCCAGGCTCATCATGTAAGAGGCTATTGCTGTAACTCCCAAATTTCCATCACCTCTTGCTTCTTGCAAGTTCTAACTAGTCAGAAAGGGAAATTTCTGAAACCAACCTGGTAGGATGGTGCTCACCTGGAGGCATCACTCTTTACCTTGTGCACACTTTTCTATTACTCAGAGCCCAAATGGCACTATGTGCTTTTCCACAGGATAACTGGGAGTGGAGTGAATGCCATCAGGAAGGAACTGACCTCTTTCATCACAGCTTGGGCTTTTTCTGTTACCCACCCAGCTTGCTATTAAAAAAAGTGCAGGAGGAAAAAAAGTCTGGGCAAAAATTTTAAGTTATTTTCTCCTAAGTTTCAAGTAAAAGGCTTCCCTAAGTAGAGCAGGGAAGGACTTATCAGCAATCTGGAAAATACTGCTTGCTAAGTGTAACTGCAAGATTTAGAAATCAAAGCTAAGGAAGTTTCCAAACAAAACCAAACCACATACCCATTAACATGCAGATGCCCTGCAGGTATTGTGTGGTGTTTCTCAGTGAGTCACCCCAGACAATTTTTATTTAAAGCGGCAGCGCCTGCTGAGAAATTTGCCTTGTGCAAGAGCTGCTTTGATCAACTGTGTAATCCTTAATTCAAAGAAATGTACCTTTGACAGTTCATGCTTTCCCATTTTTTTTTTCCCAAAAGTTGACATCTTAGCCAGAAATACATAACAAGCCAGAGTGGGATGCTGCACCCTGATGAAACTTACCTTGGATAGCCAGAGCTTGATTTGGGCTAGCTGTCTGCTATGTCACTGCATCATTACAGCAAATTTCTCTAAATATAAATGCAGTTTTTTAAGTTGTTTGCATTATAACTATACTAAAGCTTGAAGGAAAGAGAGAAAAGAGTAGTTCATAGAATTGTAGGAAGGAGAAAACTGTTGCAAAAGTAGCCTCATATAAGTTTTCAATTTTGCCCTGACCAGCAGGTAGAAGTGACAGTACAACTTAGGTTTTGCTTCAGCAGCCAAGCATGAAAAGCATAAGTAGGAAGGAAATTAAATGGTTATGTAAATTCTCTGGTATTACAGTTATTGCAACTCCAAAGTTCTTCCCCCTGTTAGAAATAACTGCATGACTCTACCAGTGATTGCCTTCAGGCAAACAGACTTTTATTCAAGCTTAGTGACTGCTGACAAACCAGAACAGCAACATCAACACTAAATGCAGGAGCTTTTTATATAATAGTTACACTCATAAACAAGCCACTTTAGGTAAAGAAATAGCAAAGTTTTGGTCCTTTCAATATATTCCCTCACTTTAAGAGTCTGGAGTTAGTTTTCTGAGACAGACTTATGTCCAGTCGACAACTTACACAAACCCTTCAGAAAAGCAGACTAATGCATGCACAAGAGGAATCACAACACTTGAAGCTGAGACATGCACCCCTGGCTCCATCTGCCTTAGAACAAGGAAAAGACTGCAGTTCTACAGCACAGGATTGCAGCCTTCCCTGTGTATCTTCCAGACGAAGCTTGCTCTTCTCTGCTATGCCTTCAGGAATACATGGTCAGCTGCAGCCAGTCCTCAATGGTCACCTTGATCTGCCCACTTCCATCTCGGTCCAGGGACTTGAAGGTGCGGAACATGCTGTCCAGCCGCACCAAGCAGCTGATGAAGCTGTTGAAATCCATGCTGCCGTCCTCGTCGGCGTATCTGCGCACGATGACCTGGAGGAGTTCTGCCTTCAGGTGGAACCCTGCAGCCTTCAAGGCGTTCGGCAGCTGAGCTCTCCCAAGAGTGCCCGACTGATCAGTGTCATACTGCTTGTACACACACTGCCACTTCTTGATGTTGTTCCACAGGTACTTAAACTCTTCAAAGCCCAGTTTGCCGTTTGTGTCACAGTCCATGACGGCTACCATGCTACGGCACGTGTCCAAGCTGAAGCCATCCGTCTTCAAGTCTTGATGTCTGGAAACAACTTTGTTCAGGATGTCCCTCAGCTCTGTGGCACACACTTCCATATCATCTCCAGCCAGCTGGGCAAAAAGGCGACGAAACTGTCTGATCTCCTCGCTCTCATAAGCTTCCACATTTGTAAAATGATTGCGAGGAGGTGGAGGCGGCTCTGGATTATACTGAGCTGCTGCTTCACTTATAAGATTGACAAGACCTCCGACGAGTCCTCCAATATTCGCTCCATGTCCACCACCTCCTGTTAGGAGACCTCCAAGGCCACGTGCAAGGCTCCCTCCACGACCACTGCCACTTCCTCCGCTCAGCAAAGCTTTAGCAAGGAACATCGTCAAGATTTATTGAAGGGAGTCAGAGATCCAGAGCTCCTGTAACTCTCTGTAGCTATACAGTGTCTGACTTGGGCGTGGGCAAAGCACAGCCTATCTGCATGCTCAGACTTCACCAGGTCTGTGCATGTCTCTGGCTGCCAGGGAGGTCTCACTGATTTCTGTCAGGTGATGATACGCCTGTATTTCTTCTTCTCTTCTTCGCGTGCTTAGCTTTATGTGATTTGAGGAATCACTTCAGAGAAAAAAACGATGAGGTTGAAAGCCACAGAGCAGAAGTCTCAAGATGCCTGTGCTCATACCTGAAGCAATTCGAAAAGAGCCCTGCTACATGAGTGACTGATCCTCAGGTATGCTGATCTCCTTAAAGACGAACTCAGCCTTGCACCTGCCTGTTCTAGCAGTCTTTCATCCCTTCAACTTTTTCGTGAATTGAGCATTACTTTCCTACTTCTAGTTACTAGTGCTGTTGTGCCAGATAAGAAAAATGAAGGGAGGCTTCTTTGCCCTTATTCTGGTTGCCACACCACATTTCTAATGTATGTACTGTGCTTCAGGACTCCAACTGCAGGCTTAAAGGCGCCAATGGTCTAAGATGAGGAGGCAAGAATGGTGAAAGGATGAGGACCCAGCTCTGATGGAGCTTTAATGCACTCAGCAATTCAGGAAATACATTCAGTTTTTCCTTATTTTAGAACTTATAAAAACTTTTTATCTTGAAAAATCCTGAAACGGTTTTAATGGGCATTTACAACACAATGACTTGCCAAGGATGGGTGTCCTGCTAAAGTTAACTCGATCAGCCACAGTGAGGCTGAGTTGGGAAAGCTCCTATGGTAAGAGAAAACCTCCAGTTCATAAGCACTTGCAGGACAAGACGCTGCTTGCACTGCAGCACATGCTGGGTGCCTAGAAGATGAATTCTATGCTCTGCTCTAGTCACTGATGCATCTGGTATAGTCAGAAGGGCATCCCCAGAGCAATATTTTCCATCCTCAGAGGGAAGTAGAAAATGGACAAGATAGCACTGACTATGGGGGAAAGCCTAAATGATCACATTGATGCACAGCCCCTGTTATGGCTGGAGGAGGCTATAGGAGTTAAGACTCCTTAGGCAAGAGGGGTCCCTGTAAACTCTAACAGCACCCTTCACAAACACAGCAGGAACACTGGTATTTTAGTTAACACTCTAGTGAGTTCACTCTGCCTTAAATTATCTACTTACAAGTACATCAGTTAATTAAGCTGTCATAAGTACATAATTGCATACATGAGTACATAAGCTCAAAATCTGGGCTAGGCACGAAGAAATATTCAGCCACTACCAGCATGGAGATTGTCTGATACTGGTGCAGCAACCTGGTCCAAGAGATGGCTGCCATCTCCCAAGATACAAACTGATCACTGTTTCTCACTCAAAACTTTTGAAGGAAACTCTAAGAGTCCCCTATCCAGCCTACAGGAACTGCTAACCAAGAAGCATTTACTAAGGTGGACATAATGAATTAAATATCCTTTTTGGATGTGATTTCTAACAAAATATTGTCAACAAGTCAGTTAACCAGCTACTCACCCTGTCAAAGAGTAGAAACAGCTCTTTGAGGACATCTGAAATAGGCAGCTTCAAGTAGTCTGCAAACTCCTCAATTCCAATTCTTCCCCCTTTGGAAGCACTTGCAATAGCAGCAAAAGTATCCAACTGCTCTCTGACATGATTCCATTTTAGGCTATGCAAACACGAGAGAGAGGAGATATTTCTATACAGCAGTTCTTGGACAGAAGGAATTTCAGTAGGAGTGATTACAGTGTTCAAAGACAAAAAACTGCCAAACAGAGCATGTGTGCACGGCATTTCTAATGCTGTATTTCAGACTGGATATTTTATATTAAATCAGCAATTAAGGACTGATCCCCCCTGTTATTAATGTTAAAAGCAGGCAGTTCTATGCTTGGGTATGTCAGACTTCCTTAGAGTTAACTTCCCAAACCTCAAATCATCTGTTCAGTTATTGGGCTACTCTAGCAGAGAGCTTTTCATTATCATAAACTCAGGTGAAGCATTACTTTGCTGCATCATGCTCCTTCCTTAGGAGGGAGCAGATCTCAGCTCAATTAGCAGACTCTCTACCCTAATAGCAGCATCACTACAGCCTCAGAAGTATCTGATCTCTGCAGAAATACACCACTGCACCTCACTAAGAATGATTAGTATTACCAAGTAACTATTTCAAACAGTTTGACATTATTTACAATTTAGCACATAAATAATAAGTCAAGATTCACTGCACACATAAGTCAGATTTGCCCACAACCATGCCAGGTTATTTGATGGAGTTACTGTATGGTTATGTAGTTCAGCCCTCAAATTCCACTGTATCCAGTCAGAAAAAGTTGACATCACAAGTGACACGTGGCTGCACAATACAGCTAAGAACAGTAAACCACTGGCTGAAACCTCAGGCTAGAGAGGTTTTTTTACTTCCTGCCACATGCTGCCAGTGCCACTCCACTAAAGCAATTTAAATTTGCATCAACTACTTAAATAGGTACCGCTCTACCTTCCTCACCCTCTGGTGAGATAATTCCATAAAAGATTAGAAAAATGCATTTTTCCTCTTGCAACACTGCCCACAAAAATTACTTGGGCTTAGTTCTTACTGGGGTTTTCCTCCACTCTGATTTCCCTGTAATTTATGTATGTAATTTAAGATGTATGCATAAATAGATTAGACAAATTATATATATACAAATATATTAAACACTATATTACACAAGGCCAAGTCAGTTGTCAGGTAATTTATCCTTTTGTAGATGGCCATTGACACCTGCAGCACTGCAGTAATTAAGCTACCAACAGCTAAACTTCCCTTACTTGAGTTTCTTGCTAATTTTGGTGAACTCCACCAGTCCAGCTTCCATGGGTAAAGTCAGCTGTCCTGCTGAAATCATCAGTCTGCAATCTTCAAAAGTGTGATCAGTGACTGGCACATTCAAAGCACTGAAACAAAATTAAGGGAAAAGAAAAATCAGTTTCTTAAATGAAAACTACTTCTTGTTGACTGTTTCCCTTCTCTAACATGCAAAACAAATGATAATTCATCCTTGCACTGCTGCAAGTAGGACAAAGCAAGACATCCCATTTTGTGTTAACTGTGAAACCACACTGTGAAACTATGTTATGGCAGCGTCACGATGTTTTATGATTTACAACCTTGTAAATGCAGCCCAGTAACCTTGGAGAACAAACCACCCACTCATTCTTGCCAAGCAAAAAGAGAGAAATTTATTCCAGTTTTCTATGAATTGAACATAATGTTTTAATGTAAGACAACCTCCCTTATGCTCCATGTAAAAACAATCAGATTGTTCTAGTTTAGGAATTTGACACCTCTTAGGAAAAATCTAGAGCAATTCCTATATAGAGTACTGGGACTTGAATAAATTGCACTTTATGGCTAGGATATATATTGAATTTCTGGATAAAAGAACAATTCTCAAAGATTTAACTGATGACTGCTTACGTTGCCATGGTTTGTCGGACTCTGTAGGCAAAAAGAATGGGATCGTTCTTTTCTTCCTCAGTAGGAACGTGAACAGGCAGAAACTGAAAGGGATGAGTTATCCAATCAATTCAACAGTCCCCACTTTATCAGCAACATGAACAATTTCTTATTATTGTTTGATGGGGGAAAAACAGGAGAGAAAAAATTAGGCATGCAGTAAAGGAACTGGGCACTAGAGGTCTCAGCCGCCTTAGAAACAGCTCTGGCCCTTCCGCCCTCACCACACAAATGAGATGTAGTCCAAAACTACCTCTTAAGGATTGGTAGGAGCTTCTTTAATGTAAAAAATCACCCCCCCACCGCCCCCCGAAGTAAAGTATAATAAATGCATACTTTGTTAGAAAATTAAATGATGCACTGGTAAGAACGTGAGTTTGAAATACTACCACTCCTTTTCAATGACCCTTTATAAGTGATGTTATATTGCAGTGTTGGTGTTATATATACATTGCAATAGTGTATGTAAGAGTTTTAATGTTTTTAAATACACACTGCAGTCCCACCTTGTACCTGTTAACTGTATCTGTCAGCATGGGACTGAAAGGTTTCCTGTACATTCTTCCTCCATGATAAAAACGTTAAGGAATCATAGTTCTGAGTTGTAAGGAACACGTTAAATGGATACAATACTGTAAAATTTTGGAGCTCCAAGCAGAGAGTAAAAAATCCCAACCACCTTCTCTCCTCCTATACCTAGCAAACACCTCAGATATCTAAATGGCAACACATTTACTATTGAGGATTTATTCGATATTAATATAGAAGAAGTTCAAGTACCTTTTCACTAAAATATCCTGTAGAGGAATTCCTATCTATTGCAGTGTGAACCAGCATCTGTCTGCAAAGCAGTGTGTGTGTAGGAGTATTTTGCTCTATCTACTTCAGTCTAAAGTGCTCATAGCTCTGTTTGCTGTGCCTCTTCTCAGCTATGGTTATCATTTATCTGAGTTCTGCTGCTCCCCACCCTACAGTCTTGCCCTGAATTCCTAGAATACAGCAATTCCAAAATAAGGTGTTGTTCATGATTCACTGGAAGACACAATTGCCAGTTATGTGTCAGTATGTTTCTTCAGCTGTATTGCAGCTGCTGGTGATGCACTAATATGGTGGTAACTGTCCCATATAAACGCAGGCCATCCCAAACAGCCTTTTAATGTTTGTTTTTAAGGAATGCTTCCTCTTCCTGATTAAAGCCAGTAAGTTTATGGAATTGGTTATCTGTCAAATAGCGGTAACAATGTTCTGTTTATACTTGGAAGTTGGCTCCCCTGTAAGGAAAACAGGGTTCCAGCTGTTCACGCGAATGCTTGAGATTTCATTCCTTCTGCAAGTAGTTGCCAGCTCTGTTCAAGGTATGAAACAGGTCCCTGCTTATCATAATTCCCCTTCAGAAGTCACATAACTCTTAAATTGAGAAGGCACAGTGCACAGACACAAAAAACTCTGTCGTCACTGGGTGAGATGAAGTCACAACTCTGTTTATGCAACTATGGGTCATGGTCTTGAAAGTGGTCACTCCATCACTTGAGGCTGAGGTCTTGCTCAGAGAGCAATGTAGCTTTCTGGCAGGTTAAACACCACCTCCATCCCCTTCCAAAAACCCACCTACAATTATTCATAAAACCTGTTTGCCAGAAACCACAGCTGGGGAGGAAGAATTTGGTTTCTTGACACCCTGTGGTGGAATGATCTCACACACACACACCCAGCTGCTTGTCTGCTGAGGAGCAGTAAGTAAACCTTCCCTGTCAAACTGAAGTCCTGTAAGAAAAATTCTTACAGCTCTTTCAGGAGCACAAATACTTCTCTGATCTGCTTTTGAACTAGTCTCTCCTGTTACAGAATTTGCTAAATGCTGTGTCTTCTGCAGACCTAAAACTCACTGCCAGGTTCACTACTTAATTTTCAGTATCTACAGTTTGTTAGTTTGACTAAACATGCAAACACATACACCCCTGGACTGCAGGAATCCATCACTGCTCATGCACACCAGGTAGAGGCAGTGCAAGACCGCTGGGAGTGGAGAAGCTACTTCCTCACAGCATGGGACAGCAACAAAAATGTCCACTCCTAAAAGGTGTAGTTGGATTCCCTCCCTCCCCGGGAAAATCTGCCCCATTTAAAAATGGAAAGACTTTTGCACTGATGCCAAGAAATTAGTTTCACTTTGGGGACACATGCTTCTGTGAAAGCTGCAGTTCTTTAAATGTTTCACTTTCATTTTTTTGGAGCACGACATTTATTTTCAAACAGACAAGTTTGAGTTCTGAAGTAGGGGAAAATGTAGCCCTTCCTTTCTACTGGAAGGACTACATTAACTATTTCTTGCTCCCATGTATATAAGTTATGTTCTTCTGTACAAAATTATAAGGAAAATGATCCCTTTACTACAACTTCTATAAATATGTGTCTATTGCATGTATTATATAGTAACAAGATGCTCCCTTAAAATAAATTTCATTGTTTCACAGCACAGACTATATGGCTAATTGTTAGTAGTAACAACACTGCTTGTATTCACAGGGCTTTGGACAACTTTGATAAATTCTCTGCTTTGCAAATAAACAGCAAAACCCATTAATTTCTCCCCTTCCTCAGGTCCCCAAAGCAACTTAGTCCACACTGACAATCCTTTTTGGTCTGGTAAGGAATGTGAAATACAACACTTTACTGAGGTTTGAACAATTTACCTGGCTCCTCACTACTGTGTTTTGAATGTTTTCTGTTTGACAGGGAGCAGATTGAGGGTGTGTGCTCATCTTCTCAAGTGTGTATATTGTTTCAGTTGTCATTCAGTTGTCAACTGGTTCATTATACAAGGCTCAGTACAAGCACTTGAGTCCTTAGGTAAGCTCTTAGTTACAGAAAACTGTAAGAGTTCAGTCTGGGAAGATGGTGGGGAAGAGAAGGATACTTTTCAAGGATCAGAGAAATACAAAGATGGGAAAAAGAAGGTGTTACCTTTAACAGAACGTGTTCTAATTCTTAGTTTTAACATCTGTAAAATGCATGTGGTGATAATTAACAATGCTTTAAAAATAAAGACATTTCTGACAATTTTCTTTTAGAAACTCATCAGAGTTTCTAGCAGAAAAGAGTTTCTAACTCAACAGTTTCCAACATACACATGGACAACCAATTAAATTTATTACCCTCTGTGATTCTTGTGCCTTTCTCTAAGACATTTGTTTATTGTTCACTAACAACAATAACGTGAATCATACATTTATATTAAAGCAGAAATTCCCTGCTTGCTGCATCTGAGTACAAAAATATTTCCAATTCTTACCTCAACTTCTACTCTTGTGAAGAGCTGACACATTGTCAGTAAGCACAGCACTTTACTGCAGGAAAAGAGGAAGAAAAACACATTTTACTTATTTAAAAAAAAAAAAAAGGAGTAGCAGAGCAGGAAATAATGCTTTCCTTTGCAAACCCTTTCCCTAGCCATTTAGATATGAAATCTACTGCATGAGAGCATTATCCCCAAGTATTTCCCCCTCATAAAAACAGATCTAGAAGAACATGTGTCTTGGCTTAGTGGAATCTGTTTGGCAGACTGTTCAGCAACGGGAGCAAAAATTCTGTATGCAATTTTCAGTAGGATTAAGAAACTTACAATGAATAGCCCTGCCATGTCCAGGTCACAGTATCCTAAGGAAAAAATAAAACACAGAAATGTATGACAGAACCAGATGCAAGTTAGAGAGCAGATAATTTACAATTTAAAACAGGCACAAGTTTAGTAAAAGCGGATGATGGTTTCATAGTGGTTTTCATGAAAAAAGGTGTTACGGCAAATAGGATTTTTTGCTTTAAAAATTTGGAAATAAGCATGGCAGACTTTTAGCAACAATTGGGAATAACATTTACGTAGTTACTTAGATACCGTAAATCATTCACTCTGATCCAAACAGCAGAAAGAAGGAAACAAAAACACTAGTAAGACTTTTTCAGCAAACTTCACTAGTCCTTTTAGAGAGGCATCCTCATCAATATGTCTGATTTAGTTTTTAAGGACATTTCTTGCTTTTTCTTTGCTTTTTTTTTTTTTGCTTTCCTTTTTTTGCTCACTCTATTACTTCTTATACATAATTTTTACAATATATATTGGCAGAACCTTATATCCTATCAGTGAAACGTGACACCGATCCCCTCAAGTGGTTCACTTTTGAAATTCATTTGTAAAAGGATTATACAAAGGAATCTTTGTAAATAACAAGAGCAATTATGTTTTTAATAATAGAAAGCACTAGGAATTAAAAGTTTGGTCTTTTCTGGATTGGTTGGATGACCAGATAATTAAAAAAAAGTTAAAAAGGTCCCAGACTTACACATGTCAGGGAAGCAGAGCCACATAAGGAATGCTGCATGAAAAGAACATCTGCAAAGCTGCCCTCATGATGAGCCTGAAGGAGGGTTGTGGGATGTTCATGGCTCAGCTTTGCTCTTGTTCAGAAACTCTGAAAGTCCCTTTGCAGTAAGACTGTCCTGAGCTTAAACAAAAAGTGATGACTAGTAGGGAAGTTGTGTCCATTTTAGACTGTGAAGTACAGACCCTGTGGCACTGCAGGAAGTTTGTAACTTCCGCTGCAAGACTCCCCTGCCTTCCCTCTCACTTGAGCTGAGAAGCCCGGCAGTAAGGTTTTCACAGTCAGAACACCATGGTGACACCTAGGAAGCCTGGCTGCTTTCAGGAGCTCAGGACAATATCTTCTTCAGTGACAATGCAAAATGTTTATCGTAGGTACCATGTAAGGCAGGATTTTGACTCCTGCATTACTGGTTAGTGACAGAAGAACGCTCTGCTTACCAGCTTGTTGGGGTACCGGAGCAACACAGGTTGTACAGGCACTCGTGAAACAAAGGCACCTGCAGACACAAATTACAAATGGTTGTTATGATTAAGCTTAATACAGCAATTGGGAGTCTTAAGTGGTTCATTACAGACAACTAGCGTAAACATTTTTAAAAACACAAGGAGAATGAGACGTGTTCTTGTTTGATTTTTTGTTTGTTTATTTGTTTTTAGATCAGCAGCACAACTAGCAAGATGTCAGGACAGAAAAGGGTTAGGCTCCATTTCAAGGAGAAAGCTGTCTAAGATTCTTGGATTGTTCGAAGTCATTTTCTCTGTGTATTATCTCCCCATTGATTGGCATTCATTTCAAAGGATTAGATGCTCACGAGGCTGTTGAGCGTTTCCTGAATCCTTCTCTGTTCTGTTATCTTTGTAAGTGATAGGGATCTGAGCACACAGCAGTGGTTTTGTAACTCTGCTACTTAAACAGTTAAGAAAGGAGAGCAACATGGTTCTAACTGTGTAGCACAACAATCTCATCATCACTGAAGCCATTTTTGACACCTTTCTGTGTTAGAAATCTATTGTCCTGGCTTGCTAAGCACTAGGAATAGAGATTTCATAATTTGGTTGCATGGCAAAGTTCAGAGGAATCTAACGTTGCACAACTGTATGCTGAGTTCATATGCTCATGTCATAGTAATCACACAGTTATTATGGGTAAATAAGTTAGATGAAAACTGTACCCAGAAGAAAACCCAACCAACTAATTATATACATCATAGATATTTTGCATCCAATACAATGGCATAAATCAGAAAAATAAGCTGTCTAGTATAAAAGAGGGGGTTTAGTGCTTCTGAAACTTTAATAATGTAAGGGATTACTGTAGTGCTGTTGTGGATGATGTACCTGCAGAAGTACAGTCCTTACTACAACTACGAATTAATATTCACAGATTATTTTCCAACACCAATGTGACAAAATATCTCACCTTGTTTAAATGTGATCAGGCAAGATCGGTTTGTGCAGGTGCCTTCTGGGAAAATCAGTATCTTGGATTTAAAGAGAGAGAAATATATATATATATATATATATACACATCCACATATTTCATAAAAGGATTACACTTCAGCCTCTGTTATGTACAGGCTGACTTTATGCAAGCTCTGTGACCAGTTGTACTGTATAACAAGAATCATCACTGTTTCAAAAGGAAATGAACAAATAAGTGAAGGATGCTCACAACATTATTAACCTGACCCATCTTAATTTGAGAGCAAATGCTTTATAGGAGAGGAGTTCTGGGGCACGGCCTTTGTCACCTTTGCTAGTTCAGAAATATGGCACAATAGACTTTAAATGCTTCACTTGAAGTTTTAGTGTTGGTAATTATAGGAGAATTGTTCCTCTGCCAGCAGCTCCTTATAGAACGGGGCTGACAGGAAGTGCATGAGGTACTTGAGCATTTACAGGCACAGATGCCATCAGCATGAGTGAGATTCCAGCTGTGATGAGATGTCAGCTTGAGTAGCAGCAGCAAAAGGCACAGAGAGCATGCGTGTCTGTGAGGCAGAGCTCTGGAGGCACTGCACACCACAGCAGCCTCAGAACCTGAATGACTCACACACCCCAATACCCAGATGGTTTCTGAATTAGTGTCTGAGATAACTACACTGGGTGCACTGTGAGCTGCAGTGTGCCACACTGAACCCTGTCCCCTGCGGAATATCAGAAAGCTTTGTATTTCTCTTATCACTACAGCATCATGAGCAGCACTCCAAAAACACCTCAGCACAAAAACTGGTCTGGATTGAGGGTGTTCAAGGTGTGCTCCCACTTCAGTCCAAATGAACAGATCAAGGCTAGATGTGAAAGGGCCTCAGTAGGTCACACCCAAGAGACACAGACAGTTCTAAGGTGTGGCAGAGGCAGCTGCACACACGAATTTTCAGTTAGTCCTCTACACATTCTGTAATCAGAAATTGTTCACTGTGGCTATGGGCACAAACATGAGTACGATTCTTCTTAGCCTATGTCCTAATCCCCAGAAAACAGGTTAGTTACTGACTAAAGAGTAAGTAATTGTTCCCTCCTTCCTCTTTGTTTTGGTACAGGGTTGCAGAAGTACTAATCAGAACCTCATGCTCTTCATAAGGCTGCCTAGCTTTTTGTGTTTCGGTTTTAAAAGAAGAGGGAATCCAGCTGCTCTTTTCTGTCATGCTACAAGAATGCAGCCCAGGCACTCTGAAGATGATGATAGACATCATCTTGTGGTCAAGTTTCTCAAGAAAAAGAAAAGAATAGGAGGAAGGTGTGGCCAGGGCACAGGACTAGGAATCACCCAGTGACACCCTCAGATGTACTGCTGACTCTGTCTTCGAGATTCCCAGATTACCTGACTCATGGACTATTTATGCCATAATATATACATAGGTTTTATCCCAAGTGCAGGGTGTAGAGCCCATTTCCCTTTCCTCCCCATGCTGCTTTCAGCAGAGATTAGGTCTACCAGGGCATTCATCCGTAACAATTTAGCAAATCCTAAGCCTCAGTGTAGTTTGTAAGCACAGTATTTAAAAAAAAAAAAAGTCTTCCTAGGTTTGACCTGTGAATATTTAAAATCCTCTGTATAACTGACAAATTGAAAAAGGTAATGGAGGCTCTAACAGTATTCACAGCAGCTTAGAAAAATGCATCTATGAGTCAAATTAAAGTAGCCTAAATGCTGAAAAGCTTTTTGTAAGGTGTTTATGAAATGTTTAAATAACGCCATTACAAAAAAACAAACTGGCAAGTGTTGGTCTTCCCTACTTGAATGCTCTCTGTTTCTGGAGACTGTTCAGAAAGCAGAGCAGCAGACAGCAGGTCTAGCTGTCACGGAGATACCTGCTACTGAAGTCTATTCTTTTCACTCGCATTTTTTAATTTTCTTCAAAAGCCATTCATTGGAACAACAGTGAAGGGGAAGTTAACATTTCTTGCTTAGTCATTTAGGAGGTATCCAGCTATGACTAAAGGCACCTTGTGACTTTAGCTACTAAACCAGTCACTTTCAGTTTTTATTTTAAGGAAATTAACCCTCAAGAAATCAAGAACTAATTCAAAACACAGAGCATGACTTTATACACAAATATGCAGAGGATATTTTTGGAGAAAGGTCTTGTATCAATGACTGTATTTGTTCAGTAGCTTGGCATGACAGTGTATTTGTAGTATCTGAAGGCAATAAGAGACCAGAGTAAGAGCAGTAGAAGAAAGCAGAAAGGCTCTGCCAAATGAGATGTCAGGAGGTTCACAAGTGCTCCCGGCCTTTCTTCTTGTAAAGGTATGGATTTCCATCCCAGCCCTCTGCCTGTTGTAAAAGCAGCAGAGTTGCTGCATCAACATTTATCTCCCTCCTGAGCAGTTAGCATTAGCTCTTCAGGATGGAAAGCCATCCAAGAGCTGGAAGTGCAACATCATTCCTCGCTGTTGAGGAATGATCACTGTGCAGAAGCAGTACCTTTTTGTTCCACCTTACAATCTTTCCACAATTCTGACCAATCTGAAAATCTTGGGTTTAGAGCATTATTAACCTAAAGAGCAAACTGAGCTCTACCTCAGCTATTCTTTATGTGAGAGACTGCTGTTTTGAGCTGTCTGTGCTGGACAGCCTGGGTTACCCATCTCACCAACTGCTCATCCCCTGACTGCTGTGAGCACAGCTTTCCACCCTAGCTTCTCACCCACCAGCTACCTTCAGAACACTGGCTCACCTACCCCAAGGCAAGTCACCTGCTGTGTATTTATTACCTGTGGCCACTGGCCTCTGGATAATGCCCGTTTAGTTATCTCAGCGACCGTGTTCTTCCGGGAATCAGGGTCCTGACGAGAGACTGCTACAGGCTGAAGGGAACTCAAAATTGCTGTGGAAGAGATAAAAAATATTTGTCTTATACTAGTGCTGAGAAAAAAACATTGGTTCAAGGTTTCCTTGCAGCAAAAACTTTCTCTTACACTAGGAGACAGACTCCACATAAACAACTTCTAGACTAAATTGATAAGAGTATTATTATTCTCCTCATTCTGCAAAATAGTTAAGACGCAAAAGACATAGCTACGCTGCCAGATGAGGAGCTTTACAGTAATTATAAACATGTGAAATTCACCCAAACATATTCTAATAATGTTGCTGTTATTTTTCACTGAGCATGTCCACACAATTCTAAGAGAGGGACCGGACTGGGACTCTACTCATGGGCCTCACTCAGGCCTAACTCATGCAGACTGCACCCAACAAGTAGTTTGAGCCTTCCCTTTTCAGTTACATAGCATGCACAAATTCTATGTTAATTACAGAAAAAAAAACCCTCATTTAATCTGAAGTCTGCATCATAATGTGGGGACCTACTAAAATGTGATGAGGCCTGGTGAAGAATTATTTTCTATGTCCCAGTCCTGTGCTTTTAAGCTAAAATTCATATTTTATCTGTTAGTTTATTTTTTACTAAGACACTTTGCTATGCTGCCTGCTGAGTTTAGTTCTGGGTTACTGTATAGCCAGCAGGAAGTCTACAGCTGATTCCAGTAATAATGCAAACAGGGATTCTTTTTGTGCCAAAAGGAGAAGAAAATAATAGAAGCATGAGTCATCGGATCTTTTCCCTTCTCTGCATTTCCTTTTTGAGTAACTCCTCTTTTATTCCTTCCTGGTCTTGCTCCCATTAAAAAAATCCATAACAGTGCCTGCAAGTTTAAACTTATAAATATGGTATTTTCCAGACTGCTGCAGTTTGGGTCTATTTTGAAATAACCTTCACCTATCTGTGTTCTACATTTATGGGCCACACTGTTAAAAGACAGCAAATATTTTTTGAGCTTCCTACTGGGAGAAAGCTTCTAGCCTGAGGAGTTGCAAAACATGCTTTCAGTATAAAGCAAAGTTTCAAGAGATATTATATTTCATATCTGAAAAGAAACAGCATACTTTTAGACATATTTACCAATTCAGAAAGATAACGTCACAGGAATTTCACTGGAAATAATTTGTCAGTATCTTTAGAGCCTAAGGACTTTCAAGTCTGACCCTAAATCACTTTCAGAGATAAAATTTTTGGCCTAGTGTCAAGTTGCTGACTTGTAACCTTTTTGTTTTGGTTTGGTTTGTTTTTTTTCCTCATAAATACTTACTGCCAAATACCGGAGTGGACAGGTTCTCTGCTCTAGACACAATGGATGGCATTCCAGTTAGGGCACAAACAATGGCATCAAAAAAGCTTGAATGAGGAGCTACAACAATGATTGGGGCTTCTGGGAGACTCGCTACTTTCCCTTTTACTTTAACCTGGAAACCCATTACGAAGAACGCGGTTCGAGTTAGGCCTGAGAGGGTTGTCCGGATCATCCTCCTTGTAAAGAGAAAAACAGAAATATCATCCATCTTACAGTCAGTATTTCTTTTGTGCTTGAAAAGAAAAGCCCATACCAGATTTCCTAGTTCTAACCAGCACTGGGGCCTGACACAGGGCAGCAGGAAATGTAGGGCTGAAGGGGAAGTAGGGAGGGGAACATCACCTTTTCCTAATGAAACATAAGGCAATGGGCAGCACCTTGTGAAACCCTGCTCTCAGGGACACTGTTTCTCTTGCCATACTTTATATCACTGCAGCATAACGCTATTGTGAGGGGAGCAATTAGCAGATTCAGTGGGGTTTTTTGTAAGAACTTAGGTAACTGATACTGTTCTTTTACCAGTCATTTTAAACACGTAAGATTAAATGACAGTGTTCCCTTACTGGAACATGTTCCCACCATAAGGGACATGTTCCTTTCATAGGACTCTCTGTAATCTCTTGGACTTGTAAGAATTAATTTCCTGTGTCTCCTCCTCCTCCTGCAGCCACAATGCACTGCAGGTAAAAGAGAACTTCATTACTCTGAGGTCATAAACTGAGTGACTGAAAGCCAGAACCCACAGAAGCAGCTGTAAAGCACCACTTCAAGGGCAATGCAGCTAGCAGAGGAACTGTCAAAGCTAATTTTGTCATAGAAACATTGCATAGCAGAAATTACAAAGTCTACACAGAAACTCAGCCTAAATAATGTTACCAAACACTTTTCCTAGTAAGTTTCTTTTCTCAAATATTTCTATTAGTATTATTAGTAAAATAAGTTATAGCTTACAAACAGTCTATAAAGATTTGTATACAAATTTCTTTGAGCCTCAAGACAACTGAAAATCTACCTATTTAAAAAGCTCCACTGATGTAAAATAAACTCATTAAAAAGCTGCTTCATCTAAATGGGTAAAACTGAGATGTCACTGAGGAATCCTCTTTAATCAAAAGAAGGAATGAGAGAGAAGAATGCTTTAGACTTTTTACCTTCTCCATCCTTTCAGTGGTACAGATCCTCTTCCACGCTGACAGAAAGTTGCAATTGATGCAAACAGCCAGGCTAGCAGTAAAATGAATGTGAGGCATGTGGCACGGAGGGGCAGCAAAATAATCCCCTGCAGAACACTCTGGAAAAACAGAGGGGAAAAATCTTAAGAAATGGTATCAACAGCAATGACACTATTATCTGTGTAGTTACTTTATAAGGATTTTAAAATACTGACATTATTGCTATATGATTTAGTAAGGAAAGGATTAAAGGTTTTTATGGGAAATTATTCTTGGTATTTCGTTTTCACTTTTGAGTTCCCATTTCAGGTAGAACTAGAATATCCGAATATTTAGGTTTTTGGCTTGGATGTTGTTAGACACAAAGGGTAAACAAAGTTTGCTGGCTCTAGTTTATATTTGGTCTCAGTCCGCAGAATGCAACCAGCTCGGATGAGCCTGCCCAGCTGACACATATCTCCACTCCACAGCCTTCTGTCACTAGCTGCGTGTCTAGAAGCCAAGTGGGATTGTCAAGATGACTAAATTGTACTCTTGCCCTTTCAAATGACAAATCTTGTGTTGAGTCACAGTATTGCTAAAAGTGATCCTCATTTCTGCTTCTGGGAGCTGTGCACACACAACACAACATCATTTCCACTGGCTGGGACTTAAGCAAAATGGAGTTTTCAGCTGCCCTGGTTGCAAATAATCCTCAAATATCATCCTCAGCCCCCCTGAGGTATTTTCAGCTTGCGTTTTTTCGTGCACAGCTCCAGGAAACAGGTGTACTGGCACAATGCAGTACCACAGGCAGCTGTGGCACAGGGCAGGGCAAGAAGAAATTCTTAATTGTTCTAGCCCAGCACATTAGATTAGAAACTACACCCCGAAGGTTGGCCTTTATGGTGCAACACACTACTGCGCAGATTGAGCAAGCCCAGATCTCCAGGAGGCATCTTTTCTTTAAAAAGGAACAAGTGTTTGTAGCATATTTGGAAAATACGCCTCTTGGTGTATTATTTATCCAATTCTTCGATATTAGTCAATTGCTTCCAGTTTTCCTTTAACCAGCATGGTCCTTTCCCTCCCCACCAAATCCCTTCCATCTTCATGTAACATCCTCTTATGTCCTCTTGTCAATATTCAGGAGAGGCTTTGCCATCTGGCTCTAAACCCCTTGACATGTACGAGGATTAAAATGAATTTAGGGCCTTTGAGACTCAGTTCTGTGATAACAGACCAAACATGACAGTGGGTACATGGTGTAAATTAGGGTAAGCATATGAAGCAGGTACATTTTGTTGATGTTTATGTTCTGCAAGCATTGCCATATAACACGTTTCCAAGAGAAATCTGAACACACAGGTATGATTATTTCTTTCTTTTCTATAACAGTTGTATATAACTAGCTATTGAATTTTAACCATAACTTCATGGACAACAACAAAAGGACTGCTCTGGATCACAAAATGGGTTTGATAGCTGGGCATAACAGATTGGCCCTGGAGATCTATTGCTCTCACTTGCTCTGGTGCCAGTTGTGGTGAATCTGAAAAAGTCAGGTAGGAAGTTAAACCAACCAAGACTCCTTGCTTGCCTCCCAAAATTAGATGTGTCTTTTTTTCTCTATATGCATCTTCCTGTACTGTGATATATCGTCCCAGTTCAACAATTCAGCTGCATTCAGTTATCAAAATGGGCAGCATAAGCATAAATCTGTGTGTTTTGAATTAAAGTAATTTTTTTCTTTATGGTAAAAAGAATATACATGCACTGAACTACAGTGAAAAATAAAGAATGCAATAGCAAAAGCAAAACAATTCCTTCCTCAAAACTTTAATAAAATCATTAATCTATTTTAGGCAGATGCACAGGTGGTACCGATTTGCTGATGCAAGCTATTGGCTTTCTAGGTCACTGTGTAATGAGGCAGAGTTCGTTTCTGCTTCATCAGCTACAGATTAGGGTAAGAAAAGGACAGAAAAGAGAAAGGTCAAGGTAAACTAGAAAAGAGAAGGTATAGGAGAAAAACATACAAAAGAAAATACAAAGTTTAGTAACTACTAAGTAGGATCAGTTTCTGTGTAGAGTAATCCCAAAGACAGAATAATTCTGAGTCATTCAAAGAACCTTTTCCTGCATATTGAATCACCTGTGTACTTTCTGTTTCCTGTGTCTGCAGTAACTGCCTATCCTGTCACTGCAATTCTTGCAGACAGTCCTGGCAGTCCAGGTCCCACTCCCACAGCTGAATGACCCTTGATCAATACACGGGATTATATTGTCACTGATGGCAGGAACCTGGGAAGGGGAAAAGCAGGTCTAACAGAAAGCCACAGGATTCAGTTTGAAATTCAGCTGCTGTCACATTGTCTAGGAAGCAGCAGCAGAGCAGGCTGGGGACCAGAACAAAGCCCAGCTCCAACTGAACTCCTTTGACATCTGTGGTCATATGGACAGCAGCACATGCAGAGCTAGACAGGGTCTTCTATGAGTGCCAAGAGGATGTCACAGCTCTCAGGCAGTCTAGTTGCTTGCTTCCAAGCATGGGGTTTAAAATACTGCTTTTAGCATGCTGGCTGTGACATTACATAGTTGCAGAAATCCACCGAGCATCTCTTCAGAATAAAGCAGAGTCCAGTAATGACTTAACTAGAATCTGGGCTTTGCAGTTGCACTTCAGAAGTTAGGACGGCATGTGCACAATCAGGATGAACAGAACTAAAACTAAAAACCAGTAAAAAATCTCAGTAATGAATTGCAGCCAACTTCAGTCAGAGGATGGAAACCAGAAGCCTTTGAACAACTGTTTTAAGATCTTGTTTGGCACATGTAGATGTTTAGCACAGCAAAACTGATCCTTGCTTTGCACATTCTAAAGAATGACAGAAGTCTCATTGGTTGGTAAACTATTAGCAATACAAGGACTGGCAAGAAATTGTAAAATCTTCTCACTCCACTTTTCAGTCTGGCTACAGACTGTTCTTATATTTGAAGCTGAATGAAAGGCAAACAGCTGGCCTGTCTCACTTTCAAGAACTGTTCCTTGGCCACACAACAGCCTTTACACTGAAGGAATTCACCAAGATGTGGAAATCCTGTTTTGGGCTCCCATAGAAGGTTTTGAAACGGATTATTTTCACTGGTATATGTTAAAGGAATAGTATAGAATAGGGAGGATATGCAAGAATGGAGAAACACTACACTTGACATAAATGGAAAGAGAAGGGACACTTCCCTTTTTCGGAGTTTATAGTAACACTCTCTGGTAAAGCCCTGATTCCCAGCTGGTCCCATGGACACTGCTGGGCAAGAGAACAGCAGACAGGACAAAGCAGTCAGTAGGAAGCACCCCAGTCTTTATGACTACAGGGGGGAAAGAACAGAAGGGAGTGACCGACAACACGATAAGGTTCTTTGTCTTGTGATTTTCTGCTTTGCAATTCTGTGACTATTACAGTTTTGCTCCTAAGCTCATGAGCACCAGGCCCTGACTCAGCTGGCTGCTTTTCCTTCCAGGTGCCTTATGGAGTTCCATATGCAATGTATCTTGCTTTAAGACATATTTTTCAACCCTGCCTCCTGAAGGAGAAAAGTAGAATATACTTATTATAGCTAAAATGGTAATTGTAGCTTAAAAATGCAAGCTTTTGAAAGTAGTCTGTGCATCCTCTAGAAAGAACAGCCAGCATGGAAAGCTGTCCATGTCTGGAACCTCATTAAGAAACTGGTTTCCTTACCTCAGGGTTCATGCCTAAAGCTACTGATTCAGATGCACTTGAAGTGTGTTCCAGCTGCTAGTAAAACATAGGGGATAAAAGGACTTGAAATTGCTTTCCAGGTTTCTCACATTTCCTCCACCCAGTTACCTTCAGGGCAAACATTGTTTATAACTTGAAGAGCTATATGAAACATAAAATATTTAGTTGTACATCAGCCTCAGATATTTATAAGCATCAGCAGAAAATGCTGTCATTTCACTTATACATTGATGTCCTCATTGTCCTCACTGATACGTCAGTTCATGTTTGGTTCATCAGCTAATTTTTAGAGGCTGTTTTTAAAAATTAAACCCTAGAAATACTTTCTGCTTTCTTAATTGTACAAGTACCCTGTAAGTCTTGTGTGTGCTTGTACACAAGCCATACTGGGACAGCATTCAGCTCAGAAGCCTAATTCAATTCACCCATTGATGCCAGTCAGTAACCCAGTGGAACGTGGGGACCTTTTTTTGTTGTACACCTTGCTACATGGAACCAACCTTCCTAACCTCAAATCAGCAAGTTACACGTCTGAAACAGAACGAGTGGAAAAAGTGACTTCCTATTTTAGCTTTTCATATCAGAGAGAAGTTATCATCTTTATTCTAGAGCTGAAGCACCTGATATGATGGACTGACAGACAGTATTTCATTCCTGAAACAGGACTCCTGTTTTCTCTAGGAATGATGTCTTATCAGCAATGACTACTGTAAATCTTGCATCGATTTAAGTCAATTAGCCTCTGTGTGTGTGAGTGTCAAGCAAGCATGCAGTCTGCGGACTCTGGAGAGCGACGGCTTGAAGAACTCGATTTCAAAAAAACAGTGACTTTTTTTTGTTTGTTTGTTTTTGTTTTTACACCGATCACCTTTCGCATCTCTGACCGCTTACAAAACTCCGTCGCGCGTGTGCTCTCTATCTCTAGGCTAGATCGGGAAGCAAACGACAGGAGGAGGAAGCATTCTTAGCCGATGCCTGTCCAGGAGCTGCTGATGTGTTAACAGCGCCGGGACCGCCGCCCTCCCCTCCGGGCTCGGAGGTCGCGGCAGGGCGGGAGTTCCAAAGCCGCGTCCTCCCCTCGGAAGGAGGATGGTGGGGGGGTGTATTTACACCCCCGGGGAGCGACCTCCACCCTGCACCGGGGGACAGCCCCGCGTTGGGGTCTAAAACGTGCTGGTTTTAGAGCCGCGCCCGGACAGCACCGCCGAGGGGGTGACAGCACCGCCGGGGCGCCGCGCCCGCTCTCCGCTCGCTCGGATGCGCATCCCAGCCCCTCCGCTCAGCCCCCTCCCCGCCAGCCTTCCTTACCCGCAGCTTGTCTCCGGCGCCGAGGCGCCCCGGGTGCACGAAAGGGTTGGGGACGGTGGGCGGGCCGAAGCTCTGCTGCCTGGGCAGCGGCAGCACCCGCGGCGCCATCTCCGCCGCCATCCCCGGGCGGCTGCGCAGGAACCACCGGCGGCGGCGGCGCCCCGGGGGCCGGCCCTGCCCACCGGCCGTGAGGGCTCCGCCTCGGGCAGGTGAGGGAGGGCGGAGGGGAAGGGACGGCAGCCCCGCCCGGCCCCGCGGGCGTCCCGCGGGGCCGGGCGGGGCCGCTGCCCCGGCCCTCCCTGTCCGCCCGCCAGAGGAGGGAGAAAGATTTCACTACACTAATGTTTTCATTTTTTTTTTTTTTTTCCAGTGAGTCCGCAATTTATTTTTTTTTTGGAAGTACCCAAACTGGAAATGCTGCTGCTAGGAAGGCTGACCAATGCAACTGAGCGGGCGGGAAGAATTAATTTCTTTCTAACAAATTACAGTACTGTATCACCATTATAATAGTGTCTGCTTTTTTGGTCACTAGCCCGATCCTCTGACTCACACTGTGATACATGATAACACTGCACAATTACTTGTCATTTACAATGCAGAGTTCTGAAAACCACTGCACTTGTCCTTACCAAGTAGCAATAGTAATTAGCTTGCTACTCATCGTTTTTCTAGGTTGAAGCTACAACTTTATTTCTGCAGGTCACAGGGACAATGTATGCTTTCCCTGAAGAGCTTACCCTCTACCCTTGATTCTGCCTTGAAACTGTGGAAAAGTGGCCCTGGAGGAGGTGTAGCTTCTGCATCCAATCCAAGTGAGTCATATTAGTAATACATGAAAATCCAGTACACATTTCCATGGTATAAGACAGGGATTATTCTCTCTTATAGACAGACACAGCCTTTTTTAAGTGTACACAGCTTTATAGTTTTTAACAGAAATTATATATATACAATTTAAAACAGACTAAGACCTTTCCTCATCATAACTGCCTTTGGGACACTTTACTCTCTTCCTGTGTTTTGTAAAAATATACTCTAAATTATCTTCTTATCATAATGATTTTAATGTTTACAGCAATTTCCAAGTAATTCCAGTAGATATCAATTCTTTAAAATGCCAGGTAGGCAAAATCATATACCGCAGAATATGAAATCTATGCAAATTTTTTTAACTCTTCCATCAGTAATTCTGAATAAGTTGCCCTTTTTGACACTTTCCTATTTAGTTTTTCTGATTAGGGCTGGGTTTTTTTACCTTTATAAAACACGCACACAAAGGCATTTTTGATACAGAAATTGCAAACCTGCTTGTGTTTGACTTGCTCCCTGCTGGCGTCTGACAAAAATCCGCCATCTCCTGGCACAGCCGTGTAGTGCTGCTGCACACAGCAGGTAAGGCAGCACTGCTTTTCTACTGAGGCAGCTGCAGAGATACGTGTAACTTGAAGTTTTCATTCAATGTTGAATAGAACTGAAACTCCCCTAAATCTAACCTTTCTCCTGGGTATTCCTAAATGTTTTCTCTTACAGGCATTCCTTTCTCTGTCTCTTTCCCTTGTTCCCTAAATATTAGACTTTCTGTGTTACTGTTATGTCCCTTATGTTGGTACACATAGGGTTCACAGTGTTTGTCTGGGAAGTTTTCAATTTGAGAGTTGTTTCTAGCTGGTTTTAACAGAGAGAAGTTGCTGTCCCCAGGCTGTTAAGCATCCCAGCCCATAGGTACATGTCAAGTAATTCTAGCACGCTGCACCAAAGAAGGAAACCTCACGCAGAGTTCCCTGAAGCTTCTTCTGCTTTATTCATTTCCCTAGGCACTGCTTAATGGACATAAGGCAAGTAAAATCAGAGGCAAGATCCTAATCACTTCATTTAGCAAATCATACCTGATAATGACCTCCGCAAAGGGAGGCACTTCAGTAAGTGCTTGGCTTGCATGGTGTTAGTCTCAGTGGAGTAAGTGGGACTTGGTTAAATTTTCAGTCCTAGACAGGCAGGTAGATTGCTGAGCCAGCTCTGTTAACAACTCTTGAAAAAACAGCATTGGCTCTTGCTGATGCTGAGTGAAAATAAAGGTAGGATTATCTCGGGGAGTCCACTGGGTATGTCCCCTTGGAGAATCCTCCTTCCTCACCTGAGCTGGCTGCAGAACTAGACGACTTGACAAGAATTTCTCTTCTGCTCCTCTGAAAGCTCCTGACTGATGATGGGGGATCTCCAACTCCCAGTGCTCTCAAACTGGCACCTTCCCTGATTATTGAATTCACTTTAAAACAAAAGAAAAAAGTAGATGTACAAGAAAAAGAGAGACTCCAGTGATTTGTGTGAGAATGAGATATAAAATTAACTGTTGTTTTCTTTTTTTCCTTTGAACTGAACCCAGGAGCCTTAGTAAAGTTTACCCTATTTAAAGCATTAATTAGGGAGCTGACTGTACATAAAGATAAAACAGAACTCTTAAAAAAGTCTCCAGGGACTCAAAAAAAAAATCCAGGTTTGTCTACATGAGGCAAAAGGATTTTAATTAGCAGCAACTGAATTGAAGTGAACTGATATGAGCAACAAAAAGAGAATTTATCCCACAATGTATTCAGAGAACATAATTGAATGTTCATTAGCTAAGAGTTATATACTGACTGTTAATGAGCAGAAATGAATATGTATTATTTCTTGTTAAGCTGGAAATGTATGGAACTAATTGTATTTAAATATAGTAGCTATAAAGCTGTGTTTATTAAGAGTCGCTACTAAGAACAGGAAAGACATAGGTGAATTTGTGTTCTTTACCGCAGTATAATTTTAAATATTTATTATGCTAAGTGGTATTAATACATAGCTTTTCAGGGAAATGGTTATTATGTTGTGCTAGAAGGACTCAGCGATGCCTTCATTTGGGCAGGATTTATGCTTTATTCATTATAAATTAGGGAAGGCAGCACATCCAAGACAGAAGCTCTTGGATTCTTCTAAGGTAGTGCTATTCTTCCCTCTCAGGGGGAGAGTCCTTTGTTACTCATGATTAAATGGCACTTGGCTTCTTGATATTATGTCTTGATAATAATCTCAGGAGAGAGTTTTGGTAAGGTTTCTGTGTTGCAGATGCAAAGGAGAGAGACACCTTTTTATTAGATGTGGTGACAGAAGAACAGAATGAATTTGTGTTAACACGGTGAATATTCTGTGGATGCACCCGGGAAGGGCCTGGGAAAGCCTATGATTCTGTCACAAGCTGAGCGTGAGAGGAAGCTGGGGGGTTATTGTGGGCGCTTTGTCTGATAAGGGAACATAGAGAAGTGTGTGGGAGTGTCCAATAGCTGAGTTATTTAGGTTGGAAGGGTTCCCTTTAGATCATTTAGTTGGTTAAAGGGTGCGTGAAGAAGGGCAAAGCAGAGGAAAAGGATGATGTAGCTGCCCAGACTTAGGGCAAGGTGTGAAATGGAAACGCTGGTGTCCAGCAGCTGGTGCTTACCCTTGCTTTCCCTCAGCTTTGGAGTTTTGTCAGATTAGGGGGGGAGGAGGAGCTTTGTCTGAACATGTTATGGCTTTTGCCATGATTTCAGTGGTCTCTTGGGAAAGGAAACAGTAGACAGAGAAGGAGAAGGGAAGGAGCAACAACACCCTGAGTGGGTGCAGAGCAGAAGGGAAGAAAGAAGTGCCACAAAGAGGAAGATCCTTAAAAATAGCTCAGTAGAGGTCTAATGGCTTCCCAGTGATGAGTTAGCCTGTTTTCTTCTGGAGCTGCTGGACCAAGACACACCTGCTCCTGATTGCAAACTTCACCAAAAAATTTGGACAAGACCCACAATTATTTATTGCGGCTGAAAGGCCGTACGTTCTACATGGCAAAAAAAGATGTTTTCATCCTTCTGCTCAGTTGGAAATTTAAGGATATTTTGGGGTTGCAGTCAGGGAGGGTTAGCAGACCTTTGAGCTAATCTGTGCCGTTTGACATCAGGGCTTTAGGCAGTGTTTTTGTGGAATTTAGATTGCTATTTTCCTGCTTAAATGGAAAAAATATCTACCTTGGTCTGATTTGAATTTGAATTATTTTTTGTTTTCCGATTTATCCTTTTCTGATAAAATTATTATAGATTGTTGCAGTAATCAGTGGTCTTACCTTTTGTAGTCTGAATTTCTGTTTATTAATTTTACAGATGTGATTTTACTACGGGATTCCTTAATAGCAGCAACAATTGCTGCTTTAATTTTTGTAAAGGTTGCAACTTTTTCTCTGTTCACAAGAGGGCGATAAATCCCCAGTCATTCTTTATCCGGCTTCTATTAAGTGATCAGTACCTCACTGCAAAATGTCATAAAGAGCAGCTCGCTGTCAGAAAACTGATGTGTATATATATATATATTTATATATGTATACCAATCTCTAATAAAATATTGTGATACCTTTTGTTTTGGTTTATGGGAAGTTTAGGCTATGCTCTGTTCATTTCATCCCACTGTAAATCCTCCTGTCAGTAGAAACTACTTGTGGAAAAGTTATTTGTAATATCCACCCCCTCCCCACACACACACACACTAAAAGTACAAGTGTTTTCTTCATGGTACAAGAACAGTTATTAAATTCAGATGAATGTCAAGTGAATTGAAAAAAAAATGATTTTCAGCATACCATTCAGGAGAATTTTCCATAGCCTAAAGGTTGTTGAGTATGTTTATTTCTTCCTCACAGTGAAACTTTCTTTGAAAATCAGAATCTTCTATTTCTTTAATGCTTTGCTTCAATTAAAGTCTCTTTTCTCTTGAACCTCTCCTTGAAGTACAATGTTATTTCACCTAAGTACAAGCCTTTTTATGGTGATAATATCAATATGGAAAGCTGCCATTAGCACTGTAATTTCTCTGTATGTGTAGACAATTTTGTAGTTTATTAGTATGCTATTGTATTTTCAATATTTAGATTTATTCATTTTCACATCCATTGTCTCACTTAAATAGTTTCTGTTTTACATTGTATAATGAGAATAGTCTCAGGAGTTTTGCATGGAATAAGAAATAAGGGGAAAAAAAGAAAACTGGTTCAGTGTACTAAATTGTTTTATGTCTCTGTTGATGTTATCTGACTTAACTCCAGCTCCTGTGTTTGAAGGAGCTGGATTTCTTCCAGCTCTAAAGTTCC